TAGGCTTTTTACACTATAACTTACCGGTACGATATGGTGTTTATAGAAAATAATCTATTTACTTAATAAATTACGGGGTAAGATGTTGCGTTCTTAGATATATAGGCATTTTACACTATAACTTACCGGTAAGATATGGTGTTTTTGAAAATTAGGCAATTTACTTAAATAAATTACGGGTAAGATGTTGCGTTCTCAGATATAGGCTTTTACACTATAACTTACCGGTAAGATATGGTGTTTTTGGAAAATTAGGCTATTTACTTAATAATTATGGGTAAGATGTTGCGTTCTTCGATATATGGCTTTTTACACTATAAACTTACCGGCAAGATATGGTGTTTTTGGAAAATTAGGCTATTTACTTAATAAATTAAGGGTAAGATGTTGCGTTCTCAGATTTATTGGCTTTTTACACTATAACTTACCGGTAAGATATGGTGTTTTTGGGAAATTAGGCTATTTACTTAATAAATTACTTGTAAGATGTTGCGTTCTCTGATATATAGGCTTTTTACACTATAACTTACCGGCAAGATATGATGTTTTGGAAAATTAGGCTATTTCACTTAATAAATTATGGGTCAGATGTTGCGTTCTCAGATTTATAGGGCTTTTTACACTAAAACTTACCGGTAAGATATGGTGTTTTTTGAAAATTAGGCTATTTACTTAATAACTTACTTGTAAGATGTTGCGTTCTTTGAGATATAGGCTTTTTACACTATAACTTCCCGGAGAATATGGTTTTTTTGAAAATTAGGCTATTATTTAATAAATTATGTGTAAGATGTTGCGTTCTAAGATATATAGGCTTTTTACACTATAACTTACCGGGTAAGATATGATGTTTTTGAAAATTAGGCAATTTACTTAAAAAATTACGGGTAAGATGTTGCGTTCTTAGATATACAGTCTTTTTACCCTATAACTTACCGGCAAGATATGGTGTTTTTGGAAAATTAGGCTATTTACTTAATAAATTAGGGTAAGATGTTGCGTTCTCAGATTTGTAGGCTTTTTACACTATAACTTACCAGTAAGATATGGTGTTTTGGATACTTAGGCTATTTACTTAATAAAATACTTGCAAGATGTTGCGTTCTCTGATATATAGGCTTTTTACACTATAATTACCGGTAAGATATGGTGTTTTTGGAAAATTAGGGTATTTAGTGAATAAATTACAGAAGATGTTGCGTTCTTAGATATATAGGCTTTTACACTATAACTTACCGGCAAGATATGGTGTTTTTGGAAAATTAGGCTTTTTACTCAATAAATTATGGGTAAGATGTTGCGTTATGCGTTTTACACTATAAGTTACCTATAAGATATGGTGTTTTTAGAAAAATTGGCTATTTAGTCAAAAAATTACGGGTAAGATGTTGCCTTCTCAGATATATAGGCACTTTACATTACAACTTACCGATAAGACATGGTGTTTTCTGAAAAATATGCAATTCACGTAATAAATTACGGGTAAGATGTTGCGTTCTCAGATATATAGGCTTTTTACACTATAAACTTACCGGTACGATATGGTGTTTATAGAAAAATAATCTATTTACTTAATAAATTACGGGTAAGATGTTGCGTTCTTAGATATAAGCACTTTACACTATAAACTTACCGGTAAGATATGGTGTTTTTAGAAAAATAGACAATTCACTAAATAAATTACAGGTATAATGTTTCGTTCTGAGATATAGGCCTTTTACACTATAACTTACAGTTAAGATATGGTGTTTTTGGAAAATTAGGCTATGTACTTAATAAGTTATGGGTAAGATGTAGCGTTCTTCGATATATGGCTTTTTACACTGTAACATACCGGCAAGATATGGTGTTTATGGAAAATTAGCTATTTACTTAATAAATTAAGGGTAAGATGTTGCGTTCTAGATTTATTGGCTTTTTACACTATAACTTACCGGTAAGATATGGTGTTTTTGTGAAATTAGGCTATTTACTTAATAAATTACGGGTAAGATGTTGCGTTCTCGATATCAGTCTTTTACCCTATAACTTACCGGCAAGATATGGGGTTTTGGAAAATTAGGCTATTTACTTAATAAATTAGGGTAAGATGTTGCGTTCTCAGATTTGTAGGCTTTTTACACTATAACTTACCAGTAAGATATGGTGTTTTTGGATACTTAGGCTATTTACTTAATAAATTACTTGCAAGATGTTGCGTTCTCTGATATAGGCTTTTTACACTACAAATTACCGGTAAGATATGGTGTTTTTTGGAAAATTAGGGTATTTGGTGAATAAATTACAGATAAGATGTTGCGTTCTTAGATATATAGGCTTTTTACACTATAACTTACCGGCAAGATATGGTGTTTTTGGAAAATTAGGCTTTTTACTCAATAAATTATGGGTAAGATGTTGCGTTATGCGTTTTACACTATAAGTTACCTATAAGATATGGTGTTTTTAGAAAAATTGGCTATTTAGTCAAAAAATTACGGGTAAGATGTTGCCTTCTCAGATATATAGGCACTTTACATTACAACTTACCGATAAGACATGGTGTTTTCCGAAAAATATGCAATTCACGTAATAAATTACGGGTAAGGTGTTGCGTTCTCAGATATATAGGCTTTTTACACTATAACTTACCGGTACGATATGGTGTTTATAGAAAAATAATCTATTTACTTAATAAATTACGGGTAAGATGTTGCGTTCTTAGATATATAAGCACTTTACACTATAACTTACCGGTAAGATATGGTGTTTTTAGAAAAATAGACAATTCACTAAATAAATTACAGGTATAATGTTTCGTTCTCAGATATATAGGCCTTTTACACTATAACTTACAGTTAAGATATAGTGTTTTTGGAAAATTAGGCTATGTACTTAATAAGTTATGGGTAAGATGTAGCGTTCTTCGATATATTGTCTTTTTACACTATAACATACCGGCAAGATATGGTGTTTATGGAAAATTAAGCTATTTATTTAATAAATTAAGGGTAAGATGTTGCGTTCTCAGATTTATTGGCTTTTTACACTATAACTTACCGACAAGATATGATGGTTTTGGAAAATTTGGCTATTCACTTAATAAATTATGGGTAAGATGTTGCGTTCTTAGATTTATTGGCTTTTTACACTATAACTTATCGGTAAGATATGGTGTTTTTGGGAAATTAGGCTATTTACTTAATAAATTACTTGTAAGATGTTGCGTTCTCTGATATATATGCTTTTTACACTATAACTTATGGGTAAGATATTGTGTTTTTGAAAAATTAGGATATTTACTTAATAAATTACGGGTAAGATGTTACGTTCTCAGATATATAAGCTTTTTACACTATAAATTACTGGTAAAATATGATGTTTTTCGAAAAATAAGCTATTTACTCAATAAACTACGTTTAAGATGTTGCGTTCTCAGATATATAGACACTTTACAGTATAACTTAGAGGTAAGATATGGTGTTTTTGAAAAATTAGGCTATTTACTTAATAAATTACGGGTAAGATGTTGCGTTCTCAGATATATAGGCTTTTTAGACTATTACTTACCGGTAAGATATGATGTTTTTAGAAAAATAAGCTATTTACTCAATAAACTACGTTTAAGATGTTGCGTTCTCAGATATATAGACACTTTACACTATAACTTAGAGGTAAGATATGGTGTTTTTGAAAAATGAGGCTATTTACTTAATAAATTACGGGTAAGATGTTGCGTTCTTAGATATATATATCTATATATATGCTTTTTACACTATTACTTACCGGTAAGATATGATGTTTTTAGAAAAATAAGCTATTTACTCAATAAATTACGTTTAAGATGTTGCCTTCTCAGATATATTGGCACTTTACATTATAACTTACCGATAAGAGATGGTTTTTCAGAAAAATATGCAATTCACGTAATAAATTACATGTAAGATGTTGCGTTCTCAAATATATTGGCTTTTTATACTATAACTTACCGGTACGATATGGTGTTTATAGAAAAATAAGCTATTTACTTAATAAATTATGGGTAAGATGTTGTGTTCTTAGATCTATAGACACTTTACACTATAACTTACCAGTAAGATATGATGTTTTTAGAAAAATAGGCAATTCACTAAATAAATTACGGGTATAATGTTGCGTTCTCAGATATATAGGCCGTTTACACTATAACTTACAGTTAAGATATGATGTTTTTGGAAAATTAGGCTATTTACTTAATAAATTACGGGTAAGATGTTGCATTCTCAGATATATAGGCTTTTTACACTATAAATTTTCGGTAAGATATGACGTTCTCAGAAAAATATGCAATTCACTCAATAAATTACGGGTAAGATGTTGTGTTCTCAGATATATAGAAACATTACACTGTAACTTATTGGTAAAAGATAGTGTTTTTAGAAAAATAGTCTATTTACTCAATAAATTACGAATAAGATATTGCAGGGATCAAGAAGAGAGTCCAAGGCCCAAGGGTCAAGATTCAAGACCCTTTTCTAAGTAGAGAGTGGTCTTCTTTTATAGGTGAGGGAGAGTCTTCACTTCTTGTAGTTTTTCGATGTGGGACTCCTCTTGCTTTGCTTAGAGTTGTAACTTGTGGTAATGCTTCTTTGGCTAAGGTGATGACCTCTCAAAGAATGGCACGTGGATGATCTAGCCAAGCTAGTTGCTCGGTTAGTTACGGTACCAACAGCAGTCCCCCAAGTTTGCGAGTAAGAAGGTACTTCTTGGTTGGGGACTTGTAATTTTAAGTGCACTGGCCGAGCAACGCCATAGTTCATCTTCCAAGCTATATAGTGCACTGCCCATAGTCCCTCAAGTCCCTGGGTAAGAAGGACATTTGGAAGGGAGAGAACTTGGCACGAGGGTGCCGAAGATGAAGGGGTTGCCGAAGGCATAAAGTTGCATGTCACAGGATGAAGTGGCTGGGCATGAGGGTGTCTAAGGCATAATAATTGCATGTCACAAGACGATGGGCCTAGGCACGAGGGTGCCAGAGGTAAATGACTTGCATGTTGCAAGACAATGTAGCTAGGCACAGGGATGCCAAAGGCAAAGGGGATGTCAAAGGCACAAAGCTTGCATGTCGCAAGGCGATGTGCCTAGGCACGAGGGTGCCGAAGGCGACACAAACCTTGCATGTTTGTAAGGCGATGTGCTTGGGCACGGGGGTGCCGAAGGTGACACAAGGTGTGGCTAGGCACGGGGGTACCGAAGGCGACGCAAAGCTTGGATGTCGCAAGGCGATGTAGCCAGGCACGAGGGTGCCGAAGGCACAAAGCTTGCATGTCGCAAGGCGATGTGGTCAAGCATGGGGGTGTCGAAGGCACAAAGCTTGCATGTCGCAAGGCGATTTGGCTAGGCACGGGGGTGCCAAAGGCGACACAAGGCTTGCATGTCGCAAGACGATGTGGCTAGGCACGGGGGTGCCGATGGCGACACAAAGCTTGCATGTCGCAAGGTGATGTGGCTAGGTACGAAGATGCCGAAGGCGACACAAAGCTTGCATATCGCAAGGAAAATTGCAAATGTGCCTTTTTTTTTCTTTTTTTTTCCTTTTCGGTAGCTTGGGTAGCTTGGGTGTTTGGTGAGGCTTGTGGCCCTTTTACACGGCCCTTGCCGTTCGGCAAGGAGGTCAGGCTGTTTTGGAATTTTGTTTGCCCATGCTTCTGCAAGTAGGGATTTATGGGGCCGAGCCCTTGTGTTTTGGCATGAGTCTTTTGCTAGGCTTGGCTTAGACTACGTATGAAGCTTTCAGCATGCTGTGTTGCGCTGGCCATTACCTTCTTCCACATCGCAAGGTTTGTGCATGGTCAAGCCTTGCGCTCTTCTCCGCTTTGGTAAGTTAGAAGGGAGTTGGGTTGCGTGGCATTGAGGAGCTAGGCTGGGAATCAAGTGCTACCGTTCGAAAGGAGGTTACAGCCTGCTAGAGCACACCCTCGACTTCGGGGATTTGGATATGGTTTCGTGTTGTCACTGCTTCGGCAGCATAGGCCAAGTCTCACGGTGGTCCGAGGATCTTCGAGTATTGGGCACCGAGTCTGCAGCATTACCCTTGCCGAACGGCAAGGGTGGCTTGGGAGCCTTTTTGGAGGCATTCTTTGCTCCTTTGATCTAGGTCCTTGGTCTATCAGCAAGAGTGAAGGTCGCGAAGCCCAACGCCAACTGCATGTTGGATTCGTCGTCTCACTGTTTCAGTGCCTAACAGCTAAAACAAGCGAGTCTTTTCGTGAGAAGATTTTTCATGGTTCCTACCGTTCAGCAAGGCTGAAGGTTGTGGGGGCATTCGGCATCGGCAAGTCTCGGCTTTGGCAGCAGAAAGTCTCGGCTCGTGTTGTCATGGCTCTAGCAAGGGGTCTTCTCCGGTTCAGCAAGGTCAAAAAATGGAGGTTTCAACCAAGTGTGGCAAGCGCTGTGTAGTTGGAAAAGAACCTGCCGAACGGCAGGGGTGATTTGGAAATTTTTGAGGCCTCTCGGAGAATTGTGAAGGCTTCGACTGTAACACCCCGACTCCAAGTAAATTTCCAATTTAAAGTATTTTATCTAATTAAATGTGAATTTACGAAATTACCCTTGGGGTAGGGTATTTCGGTCATTTTCTTAATCCGGAAAGAGAGTTTGGGGCAGTGTTTGGTATTTTTGGATTGGTCGCATTGAGGTGAGTCCGTGGACGTGTGGTGGACTCGATTTGGATTTGTAACGAAATTTCGGCATTCAATTTACCTTCGATGGAAAATCGTAATTAACTCGAGAAGGGTTTAGGTAAAAATCAGCTTTGCTTTCAGTTTTACCTCACTCTCACTCTTTCTCTCTTTCTCTCTACGCGAGCTCTTCTCCCTCTCTACGTAAAAACTCCAGAGTTACTGTTCACCCGAACAGAAAAATCCACGCTGCCACCACTTCCGGCCACCTCAGCCCTCGAGACCGGTCCCAAAAGCTTCGTCTCGACGTCCCGGTCAAGACCCAATAGCTTTCGTCGCCGGAAAACTCAAGAACAGCCGGCAATTGCAACTGGTTCGTTTCGAGATTTTCTCATTTCGGGATTTTCCAATCGTTGCGCCATCGTCTCCGCCGCCTTTTTCCGATGTTTGAGGTGAGGTTTCTTCCTCTCTATATCTGTTCTAGCTGCCTTTGGTTAGGATTGGATCTTTTTGCTGCGTAAAACCCGATTTGAGAAGTTAGGGTTTTGGCCGGTTTTCAATTCGAAATTCCGGCCAGTTCCCGGCGGTTTTGGGCTTGGCCGTAGTTGAATGAAGTGCTCCCCTAGTTGAGTAGGACCTGTAGCCGGGAGGGTGACTTGTGATTTGGAGATTTTCCGTCACCGGAATTTCTCTGCACAACCGCTTGCTGCCAGCGCTTGTGGCGGCGTGTGGGCAAGTGTGGTGGAGCTGCAAATTGTTCCAGTGTGATCCTTAGGTTGTCACGAGCGCGTAGGATTTCGTGGATC